GTTTCCTCTTCTCGGTAAAAAACTCAAAACTGCGCTACGGACAATATTACGCAAACATATGATACGGAAATAAGAATGTCACAAACTGTTTATATGTAACTTGCAACAAATTGCAATTTTTAGTCCACTTTCCATGGTTCTTTTCTCTGAATAATCACAATAGTAGGCCCCAAAGATTTTGTCAATTAACTTTCTACTGATTTGTCATTATATTATATTATATAAAATCTGAAAGCCACAATAAACATAAGAATGTAAAAAAGTATACTTGTATCAAGTTTCAAAGAGCTATAATGAATTCTTTTAGCTGGATCATCTCGGGGTTCTTTCTTTTCTTATATCTCTTTGTCGGGAATGTCAGAAATAAGAATCTCACAAACTGCTTAAATTTAAGATGTAACAAATTGCATTTTTAGTTCGTTCAGTTACAACCTTGTTTGTACCCCCTCCCTTCAAATTTCAGGTATTCGCCTGTAGTCTAGACATACTTTCCATTTTATACCTGAAGGCGTTACAAAAAGGGTCAAAGGACTTGCAAGATCTAGAAAAACAAAATTTTCCATTAAATCAAAATTTTAATCTTTGCTACAAATCATCTCGTTGAAATAACTAAAGGTGTCAGTAGATTAATGAACCGATCATAGAATTATCTAAATGACATCTTGATCATCAATAACTTCACACTTGATCAATTTATAGTCATCAGGGTTCGAATTTTATTTTTAACACCAGAAGCAATTTTTTGCTTGTTATTTTTAAAATTAGAAGCAAAAACAAAGTGTAACAAGCAAAAATTTCAATAGTTGTAATTAAACCTTTTTAATTCAAATTGACATAAAATTAACACATTTTATTGCCTGCTGCCAAATGGAACAGAATTTGGTCGTTTGGACCTTTGTCCATTCAACCACCACTTGTTTACAAATGGTCTCGGGATATGTGTATTTTCTTGGTTTTTGCTTTTAAAAAATGCGGTGATCGTCGTTTACACGAAAATACTACATTTCGTAGTATATTCGTTACGCATGAGTTAGCCGTGGGAAATGACCTTTTCACCTTCCCACGGTCAATACAGTTAGGTATAACATGATTGGTCAATAATATCACATGGTTTGAGTTTTGCATATATTATTTGTCGGATGATATTTTGTTATTTCATTGGTTAAGTTACGCGTGGGCAATTATTTCCGTACTCTTCGTTGAGACTCGGGTGTACTCGGAGTTTGTTCAAGGGAAGTAAGTCTAAACACAACAAAATGGCGTCGTACCGTGAAATTTTGTCGTAAACGCTTTCAATCTATTCGAAGAGTTCAGCTATAGAAAAACTAAAGTATTAAAATATTCTTTTTAATCAAAATTACGTAGACGCAAAACTTTGCGTTATAGTATAAATCTAACACGCTATTTTCATATTTCAACACGCATTTTGCGTCTATGCGTTCGCTAATTTCGAAGCCTGAGAGTCATATTATACCATCGGCTATTAATAAAAGATACATGGTAACGCTCGTGGCAAACTCGTCTTTTGTGGGTTTTTTTTATTGGTTAATAAAAACGTGTACTACTATTTGATAATTTATTCGAAATTGTATTAGACGAATATAAGTGCACCAGAAGACATGAGTTATAATTTGATAAACACATATGTTTTATTTGTATTCTCCATTGTCAGTATATTATTAGCTATTGTGTGAGTTTATTTAAAACGCAAATTTAATTTTTTATGAAATATTAGATGAATAACAGGAAAAGGGATCTAAATTCAAGGATAGATTCTATGTCTAAAAGCACGTGATCGGAAAGTTATCATTTCATATTTGGCATGAGTGATCAATCACATGATTAATTATTAGATTTACACATTGTATAGAAGTCATAATTATTGTCTAATATACACTTAAATCAAAATGATTGAATGAGTGACAGATTGTTATATAAAAAAAGATATAATTTGGTAAACATTCAATTCTAGGCTGATAACAGATATCTTGTGTGAAATTTCTACTGTAAGTTTCCGCTATCCATATAAGGGTGGTTTTCGACGTCATTAGGCTAATTGACCAATCACTATAATTAATTTCGTCATATTTGACCAATTAGAGAATTGAACGTCCAAACCCAAAGCTACAAGACCATCATATTTTTGGGCATTTGTCAGACAGCAGCTGGATTCTAGAAAGAGAAGATGTAGCAATTTCTATCAGCAGACTCACCCTAGCGAGTCTGGCTGGTTGGGGTTTGAGAGAATGTCTTTATTAGTCTAATCCACTATGCTTGTATCTATGTATCCAGCTATGATATATAAAATGTAAAAACGAACTGTTGCATTGTTATTCCTGGCAGGGAAAACGTGTTAACTACTGAGAAGACAAGCGTGTTAACTATTTAGATAAGAAGAAAATACACAACGTGAAGAGGAAGCAAAGACGACAAGTGAAATACTAAACGATCACAAGGCTACTAATTTATGTAGTAAGAAAAGATGCATGGGTCATACGTAGGATGTGGCGACCGGTTTAGTGCGTAGCTCTCTTTCCACGTCTAATAGAAAGATCCATGGTGTTACAAACGCAACAAAATTTTCCATTAAATCAAAATTTTAATCTATGCTGCAAATCATCTCGTTGAAATAACTAAAGGTGTCAGTAGATTAATGAACCGATCATAGAATTATCTAAATGACATCTTGATCATCAATAACTTCACACTTCATCAATTTATAGAGTCATATTATACCATCGGCTATCAATAAAAGATATATGGTGACGCTCGTGACAAACTTGTCTTTTGTGTGTTTATTTTTATTGGTTAATAAAATAAAACCCAGTACGAACATTCCAAACCATTAGACAAAATTCGAAGTCCTAAAAAAACGGTATAGGCAATATAGTGTAATCAGCAAATGGACTGTTCACCATGTATAAAATACACGACAAACGGTGGTAACAGGTGTCCGAAAGAGTAAGATTACCCGGCCTGGCGCCACACCCGCCATAGCTGCATCCAAACTATTAGACGAAATCTCGGTAAAATAGCGTGATTGGCCAATGGACTACCGGTATGCAAAATGCACGTGATGAACGCAACAACTGTCGACTTTACCAGATGCCTAGGTTGTGGAAATAACTGCGCTTCGACTTTCTTGTTGAACCCTGAAATGGCCAGAAGGTGTGGTTATCGAGGAAAGTTGATAAGCGTAGCCAGCCAAGATTAATCTCAACTTTCTGAACCCCATTACCAAACCTCCTCACCGAAGGTAGTCCACTTTCAGTCGTGCAAATCCTGTATTCAAATATAGTTCATTTGTATTTTCGGATTATCTTTATCAAATGCGTTCTTTTAGCCTGAATTCATCGATTAAACTGGCAGAAAATGGCGTATTTATAGCCATAGAACTCCCTTTACTACCCCAAAGATAGCATTTAACCCCACAAATGTATAAAATACGCATAATTTCCATTATTCTAATTATAATATGATTTAAATCGTTTGTTTTAATGTGGTTTAGAATAGATTGGCCTATTTACAAGTAAGTCTGAATATTGTATAATGACAGAAATGAAATGGGGTTACTGTTCTGCTCCGACTGGGCTAATGCAGACGGACATAAGCTGTGAGGGAAAGTTTGCCCGGACAGCGGCCGTATGGCCTACTCTTATATCGAATTCCAACTGCCAAGGGATCTTTTATGTGCACGTCAATGTGTACACGGGTCCTCGGGTTTTCGTCCCATCCGAACTACCAGACAGATGTACTTGTCATGCCCTCCGTCCTGCACCACTGACAAGGGGAAACCACGTAATACGTTAACACACTAACTTATAATATTTTAATTTGTTAGCAAATAGTTTATCATGTCTTAATTAGACACACAGCTACTCGTAGAATTGAAGGGACCAATGTCTTGTAAAATCTTTAGTATGAAATCTGAAGTCGAGTATATCTAAATGTCTAGGTAGATAATGTAAACTGTAATTTTGTAGTACCAAAGATGTATGTCATGCGCTTAAAAAGTTATGTCTGGATGGAACCGTAAGATAGTGTCGTAATGGGTATGTACAGACATTTAGCGTAAATACATGTACTCGTCTCCAAAATATGTTCATAAATCTAAAAGATAAAGAACTTTTAATATAAATGAATAAAACAATATATGATTCGTACAAATAACAATACATGATTCGTATGAATAACAATACCAGATATGCATTAATGACTCACATAAAACAATGTATGTTTAAACAAAATGATGTCTTTACTTTAATTTCGGAGAATGGCAGATATGGGTTATATTTAACGTAACAAAACATAATAACTTTAGACCGACATTATCCACATTAAGAAATTAAAAAAACATTTATAAGATGCCAGTTCTGGCCTGTTCGAAAATATGAACAATATAGCCCAACGAACAGTATAAAAATTGTAATAATAAGATTTTATCTGGGGATTGTTTCTCCATTCAATTTTGCCATTAACGTTTATCTATTTATACAGGTATTATAAAAGAGACATGGTATTTGTTAGCTAGACGGTTTACGAGAGTTTACAAAATAATTAATGGTGCTATTTATTTTACATATTTAGTTATTATGGGTGTTCGAAAAACAAACCCGGGCATCTGAAGTGGTTTATTATATTCTAACTTAATTTAGCAGATGTAGCAAATGATATGAGAGCGCAGTTAGGGCTAACGTAGGGTTAGGTTTAAGAATTTGGGGTAATCCTATATCATAAATAATGGGTTAAGGATAGTAGTCATAAATACGGTATTTAAGAGGTAATTATTATTCGTAATCACTGTGGTTACGTTTAAACGCTGTTCGAACCTAGGCAGTACCCAAAGGACAAATTAAAATGGACGGTGTTTCTTATTTCTAAGATCAAAAGAGTGGTTGTTTTGTAGTTAACAATAAAGAGAGGAAATGATAAAACAAAGAAATACAATAAGTAAACACAGTGAACAATAATGATATCATAATATATTTTATATAGCCACCATGAAGGACATGTTTGTCGTCTTCGTACTGTTTTCTATCATTGGTTTCTATCCTAACTCAGGTCGGTAACTATAAATATATTCTGTAAAAATAATACAAGAGCTTATTGAATCTGTACTTCATTGGAAATGAAGTGGGGTTTAACGCACTACTGTTCTGCCCGGACAGCGGTGCTACGGTCAACTCTTTTATCGAATTCCAACTGCCAAGGAATGTTTTACGTGAACACCAATGTGTACACATGGCTTCGGTTCTTTTTTGTCCCTGGTCTTTGCCAGCTCCTCTACCCTGCACCACTGATAACGGTGGAGGAGGGGGGGGGGCGTGGACCACGCCGGAAAATCCATTTGAAACTCACACCGGGATCGTACTTGGGGCTCCCTGGTTAGCGAGTTAGCGAATGGACACCTTACCAACTGAGCTCCGTACTTCATTGGTGGTATAGTTAGTAAAATACTGACGATCTTCTTAGATCTTTGCTCGGGGATCACGTGGCTAAGTGGGTAAGACGCTGCATTGGCCGAGAAAGTTCATTCAGATTTTCCGGCGTGGTTCTCCCTTGTCAGTGATGCAGGACGGAGGGGCTGACAAGGAAAGCTGTCTAGTCGTTCGGATGGGACGAAAAACCGAGGTCCCGTGTACACATTGGCGTGCACGTAAAAGATCCCTTGGCAGTTGGAATTCGATATAAGAGTAGGCCGTAGTGCCGCTGTCCGGGCAAAATTTCCCTCATAGCACACTGTATGGCGTATGCCCGTCTTCATTAGCCCAGGTTAGGAGCATAACAGTAGGACGTTAAACTCCATTTCATTTCATTTCATTTCATTTCAGATCTTTGCTCCAAGCTGGGTAATTTAGTAAAAATAAAAACCTTTAAGTTTATAAATTGTTCCTTTAGGTTATACAAGATATCAGATCGAATCGATGTTGAATTTCGGGCACTCTATGATATTATATTAGTGTTATATTACCTCTACCTATAATAAAGTTTCATTTATTTATTTTGTCCACCCAACTCTTTGTTTCCTCTATGGATGTATGTGCAGTATAATTGGTAAATCCACAGTGGAATGTATATCTCTATTATTTGGAACTCTAAAATAGACGTAAATTGATCTAAACACAATTGATGTAATTATGAGTGTATATAAAATGATTTACATTCAGTTTTTAAAAGAAATTACAATACTATTTTAAACATTGAATATAAACCACTTTGATTGATTCATATTATATTAATATCTACTTTTAGACCCACTTTCGTCTATTTCAAAGTCCCAAAGATTAGAGTTATACGCCCTTGAATGCTCATGCAATTGAATTTTTAAAAAATCTGTGAGTTACATGGCATAGGCTAAATCTATTTGTTAAGGCCAGCTCAATTTTTGCCAAGGTCGCTGAGATGTAAATAAGGTTAGGGCACGTGAGTGTTGGCGAGATTGTAGGGTTAGGGTAAGCATTGGGGCTAGGTCCAGGGTTAGGTTTAAGAATTTGGGGGAGAGATTGAGCCTCCACATAAGCAATGACCTAATGAAAATTCAGTTCGTGATATTTTCTGGTTTTATAAAAATACATAAAATACATTGAATTTTATATACAAAGTATTTCCCACTGTTTTTGGTGCTGGTGTCGCTGATGGTGCTTGTGGTATTCTGGTATTTTTGTTTCTGAAAAAAGGAATAAATTTGAGGCTCCCGGGTAAGAGCCATATTAGTGTGTTTTCTACTAAGAATTGGATTTTCTAAAAAAAATATGTTTGTTTCACTATCACCGGGTTAGGGCTAGGGATTCTTATAACAAGTTGATTTTATTTACTAAGGGTTAGGGCTAGGGTTTGATATATTGTTTATATTGGGTTAAGGCGAGGATTGGTCTTATTTGGTCCAATTTACTATGCACCGAGATGTCGTTCAGGCTTTTACTTTTAGAATATACAAATATAAGTTTATGTGTGAAGATTTTGGGGTGATTTTCCTGGGGATCAGTATAGTGTTTTCTGATGATTTTGGTCGCACTTGCTGCTGTTACGCTAAATGAGACTACAAAGGGGGTTATGGCGCTAGCCGTATGACTATTCAAACCGGGGAGGGGAGGGGGGGGGTGGTCTTTTCAATTTGTCAATCCAGAATTTTTCTCTTGTTAGTCGTGTCTGTGGAGTTTAATGATGATTTATGCAGTGCGAGCTATAGTTCTCCCCCTTCGGTCAATGTAAGTTGTAGTTCTTCTCTGTCGGCATTACGGCGCTTTGTCAAAATTTTAATTACCCCGACAAAGAGATATAAGACAATAAAATACAGTCATGCGGAACGACTATATTTAATCATTGATTAATGTTTGATTTTTAATCAAAGTTTGAAATTCATTTTTTCATCCTTGAATAAGCCAAATTCGAGTCAAATATTAACTAATCGAACTTTTGACAATGTCAAACTTAGTCAACTACTAACCTCTAACTAGCTAGTCACAGATTATTTTAGACACTAGTATAATAGTATAACATGGGAAGCCCAAAATAGACCTGCAAAAGACAGATTTATTTCCTACATAATGGATATTAATTCTACATCTAGATATTTTCTCTGTTTTGTTTTTCTTTTAGGGTATTTTATTTCTTTATTCTCTTTTCAGTGCTTTGTTGTAATAATACAGTATTAGAGGTGAAAGTTGCAGGTGAAGTCAAAATAACATTTGACTTAGATGCCACTGATAATTTGATTCAAATTAAACATGGAAAGAGTATATTAGTTACTGGAGCGAATGGAAGCTTTGACAAACTCAACAATACAAGATTTCAGATCGCAGAAAACAACAATGACAGATTTAGTTTTACGATAAGGAATGTGGGTACAAATGATCTTGGACCATATTGTCTAGAGCAAAAAAGTACAGTAAGATGCTGCACCAACCTGACAATAGGTAATACATCAATACTATATACGTAATAAAACTTACATGGATATATATGTTGATGGATTATATTTTATCATAACGACTTTAGAATTGCTCTAGAACCGAGGTGGCTCAGTGAGTAACACACTAGCTTGCTAACCAGGAGGTTTCGATTTTGCTTCCAGTGTCGGCCGAAAAAAATCCTCGAGATTACCCCCTTGGCAATGGTGCAAAACTGGCAAGGACAGTGTCTAGTCGTTCGGATGGGACGAAAAACCGAGGTACCGTGTACACATTAGCTTGAATGTAAAAGGACCCTCGACAGCTGTAATTCGAAATAAGAGTAGGTCGTAGCGCTACTATTCGGGAAAACTTTCGGTGTGTCAGTGCAGAAAATTGGGACGTTAAAACTCATTTCAATTCCTTTAGAATTGTTCAAGATTTCTACATTGCTAGAGATAATGTCTTTGTACTTAGTCTATACGCCAATGACTACGCTCGTGAAACATGTTGTACTAAGAAGGCTAGTGATTTGATTTTCGATGTTTAAGGATGTGTTATAGGAAAGCTATATCTGCCCATAATGGGGAGTTTTCTGTCTTTAATTGTTATTTAAATTCTTATTGAGACACGTATTTACATGACAAGCCTACAATCAACCGGTTAGCATAGACATTATGTGGAATAGACAATATCCGCCATATCTTCGTTAAACACTAATATTGCTGTCCAAGTCAAAATTTTCCGAAAATTTGTGACGCCAGTAGAACCATACACAGCTTTCTATTCTTCTATATAAAATTTTTATTTGGATTAAAAGTAATACAAATTTAGTTAAAATATAATTACGTCCGCTTTCTGAAACCCGATAAAAAAAAATGTCATTCATACCTTCGTTCTGAATAAATTAATGTTCAACATATTCATTTTTTTCATTTTCTATATTTGAACTATTATTTGAAGAAAGGGCATCTATTTCTCTCTTATACATGAGACTAGAACTATATGAGTGTTTAAAATACAGATGTGACGTCATCCTTTGATGTTGGAGTACCATTATTTCAAATAATCGTACGGGCAATGTGCCAAGCGTAACTTGGTAAAATATTGAACTCGAGTGACGTATTTCATTGCAAAGCACGTGCAAGTGTCTGTATTTTAAGTTGTTTAATGGTCTCGAGCTTAAGACATTGCGTAATATATTGTAAAAACATTCGGGCCTCACGGCCCTCATGTTGTTACAATATATTACTTAATGTCTCGCTCTCGACCATTAAACAATACATATTGAATATGATAAAAAAAACTGAATTACAATCATTCTCCTGGTGAAAGTGATAAAGGCTCTTTATGTATTTTACTACAAAGTTAGGAGCAGAACAGTAGGACGTTAAACCCCATTTCATTTCACTACAAAGTTTAAACTAGAATTTTTAAAGCCAAATAACCCTTCAGGCATCGCAGTCACTTACAACGAACAAGTCAATAGAAATGAAATGAAATGGGATTTAACGTGCTACTTTTCTGTACCAACTGAGTAAATGAAGACTGACAAACGCTAGGCAATGTGCTATAAGGGATATTTGTGCTATATCGAATTCCAACTGTCAATGGTTCTTTCACGACCTATCCGAACGACTTGACAGCTGCCCTCCGTCTGTGCCACTAACAAGGAGAAACCACGGCGGAAAATCCCGAGGACCTATCTCGGCCAACAATAGAAGCAAACCTGAGACCTCCAGACTAGCGAGCCCGCAGTCATACCCACTCACTTTATGCCGTATTACCAACAACTTATTTGATATTGCTATCACTGCTATTTAAAGAGACATTGTGACGAAAATCCAATTAATATTTGTCGTTATTATCATCTAATTATTGAACAGCACTCATTGATTCGTTATTTCAAATCAAGTTCGAGACCCACTGGTTTGGTTAGTGAGGAAGCGTCTTAACCACTAGGCCACAGTGGCTCCCCTGGTTGATACAAATCAAATACATGTATATTTAAAGTAACTACAGAGGCATAAAGAGTGTACCGTCAAATCAACTGAAGTAAATGTAAACTTCAAATTTATTCTGTTTTGATTTATATTTAACTCTATATTAATTTTTATAATTCCCTTATAAAAGGCCCCGATCAACTTTCCAATCTGGATATTTTAACTTTATGTTGTGAATCATGTGTTATCACCAATTGTTATTCCGTTTCCTGGTCGAATGCACGAAATAAAGAATAACGGACCTTTGTGAGTTAATATAGATGTATACTTATTAAACAGTTTGGCTTTAAAGTTTTTCTTTTCTGTATTAAGATAACAACACTCAAACTGTCACCAAGTCTTCGGAGCCTTCACGTGAGTCAAATTTTTATATCAATGAATTGCTATAGCGCGAGATGGAGGGGGTGGGGGTACCAGGACAAACCCCACGAGATTGTGCAGCCCGACCTAATCCCTGTCAAAAACAAACCTAATGATATAAAGTGTAAACACCTATACAACCATAAACCATCGTCTAGAGGACTAAATACTGGTGACAGATTTTAACTTTCATTTAACGTTTTGAAATGCACTTCATATATAAAAGTCTTACATCAAGTTTGACGTATGATTTCAATTTCATATCCAGTGCCATCGATCCCCTTGTTGAATTGGATTTCTTTTACGAATATATAATATTGATGCTGTTGATGGTAATCATATTTAACGTGTTTCCATTAGATTTGTTTTAGAGTCTTTCGGTTTTCGGTTATATTTTCTCTTTCAGCAACGTCAAAGTCACCTGTGAAGAATAAAAATGATAGTAAGACAACAAGACCTAGTGATGGTAACACTGGTAGAAATCAAACAAGATCTGGTGATAGTAAGAGCGGGAGTATGCCAGTAAGGCCTGTTGGTGGTAGCAATGGTAATAAGCCAATAGTTCCTGGTGATGGTAACAGTGGTAGTAAGCAAACAGGTTCTGGTGATGGTAAGGGTGGTAGTATGCAAACAGGTTCTGGTGATGGTAAGGGTGGTAGTAAGCAAACAGGTTCTGGTGATGGTAAGGGTGGTAGTATGCAAACAGGTTCTGGTGATGGTAAGGGTGGTAGTATGCAAACAGGTTCTGGTGATGGTAAGGGTGGTAGTAAGCAAACAGGCTCTGGTGATGGTAACAGTGGTATTATACCAGGTGTGGTGATTATGATGTTGACAGTCATAATAGTGATCATATCTATCGTCTTCTACAAGAAATATAGTAAGTTGTTTAAGTGAAACCATTGGTCAGATCATTAACAAAAGATTATGTGAATATACTAGAAAATATCTAGAATTTATGTCACCCGCCATTTTGATTTCACTCATTTGGCGGGTCCGAAAGCTATGTTCGATCACTTCCCTAGCAATTGGAATACAACTTCCGGTTACATCAACAGGCAAAATAGAGTTTTAACCCCTTTAGGTGCCCGTAGTTTATTAACTAAAATATATATATCTGGGACTGTCCCGTGATATGTAATCTGATGTCATATAATATTATTGTTTCAGAGTCAAGTTTTCTTTACAGGGTTAAGCTTTCTGATTTCACCGTTAAGTATTTTTATTTCTGAATCAAGTATTCTTATTCTAGATTCAGGTATTCTTATTGCAGAGTCACGTATTCTTATATCAGAGTCTCAGAGTCAAGTATTCGTATTTCAGAGTATCAGGGTTGAGTATTCGTATTTCAGAGTCAAGTATTCTTATTTCAGAGTCAAGAAAGAAAAAGAACACCGAGCCGTTAAACACAAAAACTGACGACCGAAATGGTATTTATATTACCTACAAAAAACAGATCAATTATCTTCCTGAATCAGCACGGCGTCATTTGGTTGGTTCTTTTTAAAACTAATATTCTAATTGTTAGGATTGATATCAGGGGTGTTCTATCGATCATTTCTTTGCTAGTAATGAAATGAAATGAAATGGGGTTTAAAGTCCAACTTGTTTGCACAGACTGGGCTAATGTAAACGGGCATACACTATCTAGTTTCCAATGAGGGGCATATTCGCCGGACACTGGCACTACGGTCTATTTTTATTTCGAATTCCATCTGTCAGGGGTTATTTTACGTGCGCGCCAGTGTGTACACGGGACCTAGGTTTGTCGCCCCACCCGAACGACTAGACACTGTTCTTTGCCAGGCCCGCGCCCTGCACCACTGACAGGGTGGAACCACGCCGGAAATTACCGAAGAACTTTCTCGTCCAAGATGCGGAACGAACCCGAGACCTCCTGGTCAACGAGCCAGCCGACGTTTTACTCACTGGGCCACCGCGGCCTCCCATTGCTAGTAATATGCTTATTATAGTGTATAGCATCTTATGCTATTAATACATATAGTATTTAGAATGATAACCCACCATCTTTAAACTTTCTATACAAATACGAGAAGTGTGTTCGATTTCCGCCAACTGAGTACACCGTATTTTCCGGAATGGCGTTATATGTTTTCCGGTAATGTAGATTTTAAAGGGTGTGCTACCAAAATAGATGTATATTGCTATACCCATATCGATAGCCTCTATGTTTAATTGGGCAAAGATTATAGTGAGTGTTCGAAAATAAGTAACGCTATCCTGGCTATAAATTAATGATTTACACTTGCTTTAGATCAAAATATCTAAAACAGTACGGCATTTATTTTCGAAAAAACACCATTGATTCTATCGCCCAATCAATTTATTTCTAGACTATTTCGTCGGTAGAATGTTATGGACATATTTATTCTACCTTACAGAATGTAGAGGAACTGATTTACTCCGATTTGTCATTGAGTGAAGCTAGTGCTATAATACACAGTAAAAGAGAGAGTGTGGAGTATGGTGAGATAGATTTTACAAATGTTCAGTACGATACTGATGATAGTTCTGAATCTGAATAAGTGGGAAATACGTTATTTCCCGATTTTATTATTTTTTTGTATATGACAATATCAAAGGCGGAAAGTTGGAAATGTTAAAGATGCATTATGTAAGATTTAGATAAAGAGCTTACCTCTCTTGTTTTAATAGTTCATAAACAGATAATGAAAAATGAATATATTGAAAATATCATTCAACCTACTTTATTCTGGACGAAGTTATAACTAGTTGAAGATGAAGCGAGTATCATTTATTATCGTAGCAACTGAACTTGACAACCGAGTTTCGATTATCCAACTGATCATTAAATTTCTAATATCTCCGCTCCAATAGTCTAGTGAGTTGATTACAGGCTTGCCATGTTAATGAATACCTAAATTATCATTTATGCAAGATTTGAAGTCAGACAGAAAAAAAACCCTGCACTAGACAGATTTAGCTCTTACATAATGCACAGTGAGCTAGTTCAAAAGTCAAACACATGCATGCAGTGTTCCAATGTAAAGATGTTTGCTATTATCTTGTTAGCTTATCTTGTATGAAAGAGAAACCAATTCAAACTTTGAAATTACCCGATTTAAATAATTTTTATTGTTTAAATACAATTATTTTAAATTTAACCTTAGTTCTGGCATGTTGGGGTTTCCGATCTAATGTGATGGCTTTAGGACAATGTTGATGAGTTTAGTCTCAAATAGTATTTTAAAATCCAACCTGGGTTTTTTTTATAATATAGTTTTAAATATTATTTGTTTCATGATATATTAACTTTTATTTTAATTGTCAATTATTAATTTTTTACAATTATTTTACCATAGTGAACTAATGTGATAATAATTATTAATATATTTTGTTTTTTGTTGTTTAAACTTATACAGCCTTCTTCAGAAATGTCAAATATTGCTCACTATTATCAATAAAGTTTATCCGCTAGCTTTCCGGTGGATTCGCTGTATTCTTTTTGTTTGATTTCTTTTGATATCCTTTCTATAAACTTGATTTCTATGTATCACTTTTCCGGCGTGATTCGCCCTTGTCAGTGATGCAGGACGGAGGGACTGACAAGGACAGCTGTTTTGTTGTTCGGATGGGACGGAAACCGAGGTCCCGTGTACACATTGGCGTACACGTTATAGATCCCTTGACAGTTGTAATTCGACATAAGAGTAGGCCGTAGTGCAGCTGTGCGGGCACAATTTCCCTCATAGCACACTGTATGGTGTAAGTCCGTCTTCATTATCCCAGTCGGTGCAGAACAGTAGGACGTTAAACCCCATTTCATTTCATTTCATTTATATGTATCACTAAAGGTGTTGAATCGTACAAATGTCGATTACGATTAGGTTTTGTAAATATGTTCATCACCAGGCTATGTATACAAAGCTTTGATTATCATTTTTAATAAATTAAAGTCGATGTAACTCATTGTATTTGATTTGGGGTGATGTGGTGTAGATATGTCTACATTCTAAGTCTAGTCGTTTGTAGGCGTGCAAAGGGAAGCTATTCTCTTTTAAGCACCTTAATAATAAGGTCTCAGACTAGTAATCCTCTTTGACTGCAATATGAAAGCCATGTCATTTCTTGGCCTAATAGATATTATTTGAACATGTCGATGATCTTAATCTGTATAACCATTAAGAGCCCAATTTTCATCTAATAAAAACATAGGAGTGTGATGACAATCTCGATTTTTTTCTACGACCTGTCAAGGAATCTTAGGCCCTGCACCAATTCCAGAGCAACAAAAAAGGCATTCAAAAGGGGACAAAGAGAGAATTGTATGAATAAGGGGTTACTGGTAAGACATTGAGTGACTGGGACTTCTGGTCTCTGATATAAATGTGGTTCTGAGTAGTTTTGTTCTTATCGTCATTTTATGGACACACTATGGAATAGAGGAATCAATATCGAACACTGCTTATTTGATTGTAGGTTATGAGGTTTTCCGAAGTAGCCAGGATAAAATTATACGACTGCGTATATAGTCAATGACAAATAGCGTCGGAAGTCTTATTTTGTTTTAAGCGCGGCGACCTAATTTCTGGACACGTAGAAAAATATTGTTCATAGAATTATTTAATTTTCTGCATACTGTACTTTCGTTGGAAATAGCGATCATTACTCCTCTAGTGTCCATTCTTAAATAGGAAATAACCTTCCGTTCACCATCAACGGCAGTGCATCCATCTGCATGGGGTCCAAGTCTATTTCGAACTCCTCGATTATTACCGGAATATATGAAACACGATTGATTATACGTCTCACGGCTCGCCCACCTACAATAGCAAGAGCTCGGTCCTCACTACTATTATTTCATCACAATGCAGAGGAATCTGCGAACAGGTAAGAGACCAGTTGACCTGTTCAAAAGTTATATAAATAGCTGGTGTGGGGGTCAAAAATGCAAATGTGGCGCCTGCCGTATCCATCCCGTGCTGCCTCACAGCTGATATGTTTTACTTTTCTCTTGGCTTTACCTACATATATGCATATTGTAATGCTTAATATATTGTAGTACTGCTTATTATTTCATGTTATGGGCTTATATGTGTCTTATCTACCTATGCATGGTGCTTGCTATTATGTTTATGTCTGTATATACTGTTTTATGTTTGTCGGTTTAAGAGCTCCTTAGAGCTCGTGTTATTTTGTTATTATGTATATATGTACCGACGTTAAATAAAGATTACTTACTTACTTACTTACTAGAGACGAACATTAAAACCAATTGACAAATCTATGGAGATCTGCGGCTAACTGTCACCATTTCTTTGGCGATGTGAAAGGGAGTTATTTCCCTTTATTGCACACAGATTGACACTATCGATCTTTTTTTCTGGCGATTTTTTTCTTAAATACACAAAACAAAAAAAAAACAAAAAAAAAAACGTGAAGCACGGCAAACCCCCGAATTACCGATATGCTCCATTTTGGGACTATAGACGTTTAATAATGTAGCTAGCTCGAGGATATGTATTTTAGCGAAATCAGCAGAGAGCACCTTAGGAACTGATAAGGAATAAGCCAATGGGGCTGAATTTCACAGGTAAGCGCTGAAGAGTCTGGTTCCGAACACAATGCTGCCTGCCTTGCAGCATATGTAGCAAGATATATCCAGTCACGTGAATGAGCGCTTTATATATGATTAACCGGACTGAAATAAGACGGCTCATATCGCGTGCTGTGGACTGTGTTGTGACCCATCATAATAAGAGGATCGACTGATCTATTATAAGGCAGTCAATGTGACACTCAATACCGTTCCTTAGTAATATGACAAGGGTGCGATCATTCGTATCGAAATAACCCATCGATGAATGGAAAAACCGCTATACTATACAGACAGTGTATAGGGTTCTATTGTTATCGCGTTACTAAGCGCTATTATTGAAGACATATCGAACAGAACACTGCGACAATCATTGCCACATTTTTTACATAGTGTATTTTTATTCAAAACGAACGAGGCATTTCAGTACTGGATTACAAAATTACTACGTAAATTGGAATATTTCAGGGAAACGTTTAAATTATTTGTGTAAAAGGTAGGTTTTGATATTTTTGATTAATCGATTGTTGATGGTTTTGTGTTTTTGACATTGTGTATTAATCGTAGACAATTCTGGTTATTATTAGTAGAGTCTGTGCGTCATCATTTGATGGGTCCGTCCTCTATGATAAAAAAAATGTTTTAATTTGTTATAGTCTCGAAATGACTTAGTTTGTGTTGAGTCAATGTTACTCCCCCCCCCCTCCCTCCCTCAATATCCTTGTCAGTGGTGTGGGACTGCGGGCCTCGCCAGGGACAACGTATAGTCGCTCGGATGGCACGAACAATGAAGGTCTCATGTACACATCGCTGTGTACGAACCCTTCGCAGGTGGAATTCGATGTAGTGCCGCTGTCTGGGCAAAATTTCTCTCATAGCACACTGTGTGTCGTATGCCTGACCCTCATTAGCCCAGTCGGAACAGAACAGTAGGACGTTAAATCCCATTTCAATTTTCAGTTCCTCTCTCAAAATGTTGAGACCTATAGGATATTTATTTAAATATTTAGTCATGCATATCATTTTTCTTAAAATTAGGTAATCCAATCAAGGAAATATATTTGATTCTATATTTCATACAAATCTTTGTGTTTGTAATGGTAGGTTTGTTATTTATGTTGAATTACTAAGTATCGTCTATAATTCAATTAATCTTAACCCAGTAATGCAAGGGATGTTTACATTAAAGGGTCGTGTGACAGGACACACAAGGACAACGTAAGAGTCGTGTTACAAGATTCACTAGGACAACGCAAAATGTATTGTTATATGAAACTATGCTATGTCTCCATTAAAGACGTATAATAACTTACAAAAAGAAAAGAAATTGAATTAATTTTATATAATAACATATCGTATGGCTTGATTTTGCATTCGCGTCATTTATTATACTATGTAGTATTGCAACTTTAAAGAATAAATTAATATTGTGCGTAGGGGTCTTTAGCTGTGGGAGAAAACCGGAGAACCCGGAGAAATCCCACGAGGTTGGACAGGGCAATTCAGTTTCACGCGAGGGAATGTGTATTAAACATACCAAGCAAACATTCTTTACCAGTTTTTGTTTTTTATGTCTTATACGCCTTCATTTTGTAGCATGATTTCGTCGTAACCAACATTAAACTAAAACCCTAATGTAATGCTTAGTTAATTGTGTGGATAGGCGACACTACTCCTTGTCACGTACAGGCATGGAATTAAAACCGTGCCAGTTGACCCGATGACCCCATCCGCGACTTCCGGAATTAATTTTATATAATAACATATCGTATGGCTTGATTTTGCATTCGCGTCATTTATTATACTATGTAGTATTGCAACTTTAAAGAATAAATTAATATTGTGCGTAGGGGTCTTTAGCTGTGGGAGAAAACCGGAGAACCCGGAGAAATCCCACGAGGTTGGACAGGGCAATTCAGTTTCACGCGAGGGAATGTGTATTAAACATACCAAGCAAACATTCTTTACCAGTTTTTGTTTTTTATGTCTTATACGCCTTCATTTTGTAGCATGATTTCGTCGTAACCAACATTAAACTAAAACCCTAATGTAATGCTTAGTTAATTGTGTGGATAGGCGACACTACTCCTTGTCACGTACAGGCATGGAATTAAAACCGTGCCAGTTGACCCGATGACCCCATCCGCGACTTCCGGTAAAACACTAAGATCCCTTCAAGTAGCGTTAGTTGTTACGTTAATGGGGTTAAAGTCCGCTTCCACTGAGGATGATATCGCAGACAGATGCTTCCATAGAAACTTGTCAGCGACCATGTCGTGGTTAGGTGTCATGTCTAGTGTAGGGCCGGGATTGAAAGGATGGAAAAAGGTTATTCGTATTTTCCATCCCGGTAATTAATCATGACTGACAAGTTTGTTACTCGCAGATTGTTTCAATGGCATTCAATATCTGAACTGAAATACATAGGTCACAATTGTATGGAATACAATTACTACTTATTACTGAGTGACGTAATCAAGAAATGTCATCCAGTAATAAACAGCCATTGTATTCCATAGAATTGTGACCGGTGTATTCTTCGGCACAGTCATGACTCTTGTGATACGACTGTGCCTTTAATTACGGTTGATTAAGACTCGTTAAGCCTAGCCGAAACGTCACCCAGTAATAAACAGTCATTATATTCCATAGAATTGTGACCGGTGTATTCTTAGGCACAGTCATGCCTCTTGAGTTACGACCGTACCTTTAACTACGGTAAGTCACACGGGTCAAAATTCTATGAAATACAATTACTACTTATTACTGAGTAACGTTTCGACGAGGCTTCTCTTATACTCATAATCAAGAAATGTCACCCAGTAATAAACAGTCATTATATTCCATAGAATTGTGACCGGTGTATTCTTCGGCACAGTCATGTATCTTGAGATACCACCGTGCCTTTAACTACGATAAGTTATAATCTTATATTCGAGTGAATAACTTAGTTAAATAAACATTTACATAGAAACTATGACTGATGAATGTGAAAATCAATACCGTTTAGTTATTTAATTTCTCTTAATTGGTTCCTATTAACTCATGTGTACTTCCGGTCCGAGGTGTATTAAGTTTATATTGTCTATAAATGATTGATGGCGATATTACATGACAATAAAACATATCGTTTATATACTCAATAGCCAATCAATATTCTTCTTCAGTCTTCTTAATAACCATTGGTAGCCATATTGGTTTCTTTTCATTCGCCGGTCAAAACCCATTTGTAGACACAATTAGTCTTAGTACACAATTTGCAAATACTACACGCATACTCAGGGTGAGCATAATATATGATTTCGTGCACCTTATTAGAATTAAATGTGTTATGATTAAATTGGACTTCGTTTTCGTTTTGGGGGATCACGTGGCTAAGTGGGTAAGACGCTGGCTCGCTAGCCTGGAGGTCGGGTGTTCGATCCCTGCATTGGCCGAGAAAGTTCATCCCGATTTTCCGGTGTGGTTTCCCCTTGTCAGTGATGCAGGACGGAGGGCCTGACAAGGACAGCTGTCTAGTCGTTCGGATGGGACAAAAAACGAGGTCCCGTGTACACATTGGCGTGCACGTAAAAGATCCCTTGGCAGTTGGAATTCGATATAAGAGTAGGCCGTAGCGCCGCTGCCCGGGCAAAATTTCCCTCATAGCACACTGTATGGCGTATGCCCGTCTTCATTAGCCCAGGTTAGGAGCAGAACAGTAGGACGTTAAACCCCATTTCATTTCATTACGTTTTCGTTTCTTTTCCCTTTTTTCGCTTAATTCTACCATTGAACAGCTTCTTTAACATCTTACATTTCTGAACGAAACCGGCTAATTAGGGAAATCCCGGGACTCGTTATCGGCCAAAAGTATGATCGAACATGTCACCTCGTGGTCATACACAGCAAGCAATCGTGGATCTGACCTCTTACCTGGTATGGGCAAGTCTGATTTTAGCCAATGGGAATCTATACCTGTAAATGGCAAGGGAATAATTGGATCTTTATGTCATGTAGACCATGGACCTCATTGTTCAGACGGTGACAGAACTAGAGAAGGCGTTTTACAAGGTTCATGTGGGAGGAAGAACCAAAACAATTCCTTATAAAAAGATACAATTAGGTTTAATTGGATTTACTTTGAATATGAATTTAGACGTCTGCTTTCAATATCTGTCGCACTGCAAATGCCCACTGACCGTTTTAATACATGCAAACCAAAGGAACAGAAACATATCTGGGAAATTGACACCAAAAATAACATTACCTGTGATTCGTATCTATTGACAACGCCTGTAGGCCCACATCAAATACAAAGATTGGATTCTTTATGTCTGTGTATAAGTGTTTTTATAACACAAATACAACATCACACAAAGACAAAACATTCTGTTCTATGGATGACAATGAATGTACTAGCACGTTACGTAAATCATGTGAAGACCAAGGGAATTAAACAGCTACCAATGCGGTTTACGTGGTATTATACGTTTAAGTTAAAACTCTTCTGCAACTGAGACGAATAAGTAGCATTTGTCAGGCAGAAATGTTCACTTAATATGACGATTAATAAAACCAACGAGGCTAGACAGAAGTTACACAGGCATGGGAATTTGACACAAACTCATACAGGATATTTTGAATACCTACATAAATAGTCGCTCCGGGTTAATAAGCAAAAATAACATTAATGAAAGGTCTAATCCTTCACGCACTAATGACAGAAAAATTAGGATACAATAGTGGCTTAATAATAGGACCCAGGCGAAGAGCAACTCTATTAGGCAATCTGTCGTAACTACTTATTAGTGTTTATTTCCCTCTAGACAATATGGATAATGCCATTACACCACCATTATGATAATATTAGCTACGAGTTATTACAATATATTAATAGCAGCCATGTAGGATAGAGGGGGCTTGGATGGCCGAATAGTTAGCAAGTGCGCGCTGCATCATAAGGTCTGTCATTGAGTCAACTGGCGTGGTTTCGATTCCCCGGTTGTTCGTGACAAGGAGTAGGGTCGCCTGTCCAGGCTCGTGGGTTTTCTCCCGGTCCTCCGGTGGAAATAGTATGTGTCAAGTGGTCGAGTGGACGTTTCTCCGATTCCCCCCCTCTCTCTCTCTCTTTCTCTCTCTCTCTCTGTAGGCATAGACGTATTTGGTCGGCTGTACTAGGGGCGCTGGAGGAGGGCTGAAACCACGCCCCCTATATTCTATTTTCTCAGAGCTACCACGCGTCCGCACAAAAGAGAATTTCAAGCAAAAATAACAATAATCAGAGAAAGTCGCACAGTGGCAGACGGACAATAGAGTCTTTCCTCATTTAAATATTACAAAATATAAGTTGTGAAAATTGGTTTGTAGCTAGCAATTTCGACGTTTAAGCATAGAAAGGGAAATGTAATTTTAAATTTGGTACCATTTTGGCCTCGATGTTCATGGATACAAATGATTTATTGTTCAGGCGAAATCAGTATAAAGTAATGACCAATTTTGATTGCCATAATTAAG